ATGGACAGGAGTGAATACATCAGATGCCCCCCACCACCTTTTCCTCCTGTGCTCACTAGCTCTCTCTCTCACACACACCGACACAGGCACACAACGCCTGCCTTACTGCACTGTAGACAAAGTCAATACCACAGACCTGGACACTCACGAACTTGCATATAAAGCATGAAGCAGAAGTTCTTTGAATGCCTCTGCGAGTGGCCGACAAGACTCCATCCCCCGATGCTGATGATCTCAGAGGTGTAGGAGGCTTGGGATGCAAACCTCCCAAGTTCACCGAGGGCCCCCAGGGACCCGAAGTTTATTTGACTTGGGAGACCCTGGCGTTACTGGGGCAAGCGTGCATGGGAAAGTACTGGGGATAGAAAAGGACAGTCCTGGTTGGCGACGACCATCCTGATCTTGCGAGTTTCATTTATGACAAACACCATCACTTCCTGTCTGTCGTCACAGGGCCCACTCTCCCTGCGACTGCACCCAGGGGTCCCACAAAACGCCCCGGGGACCTGAGGGGCTGTGGATGGGCTCGACCTGTCCCCTCCCCTCCAGGCTACTCGCTGGGAGCCCCTTGTTCGAGATGACTGGACCTGACTGGGCTCCTGATCTTAGAGGTTGCCTGCCCCGCTCCACCGCCCTCCTTCTGGAATCGAGGTCCCTACACCCTCGACCCTACTCAAGTTCAGGACGCTCACTGCCCAGAGAGTGAACAGGCGTTCATCCTCCCATTTGCCAGAAACTTCCTCCCCTCTGGTCCACTGCCCTCTCAGTGCTCAGGACCCCTCTCCAAACGCTGGCTCCACATCCATGCCCACAGACCTTATGTATTTCTCCAAGAACCAGGCAGAGGGAAAACGGCCATCATTCTACATCTTGCAAAGACAGAAAAACGTTTAACTACTGACACCCCTGATGGCCTGAAGAAGCGAACGAGCTCTGTCTTTGCTCTAATGCCCTCATTCTCTGTAAGTGAAATGTAATTTGAAACCATGCCCAGGTCCCGGGCTGAAGCAGGAGTATTTGCATGAACACCGGCTTGGTGGGACTTACATTTTTCTTGCGCTCACGGAACTGAAGTGCTTGCTTTTTTTCTTTCTTTCTTTCCTGCCTCGTGCATTTTCTGAACATCAGCAAAAAACTAGTTCCTGTCAACAGAAAACTGCTCTGGCCTAACTTTTTTTTTTTTTTTTTGGTTGCGAAGCACAGATTCCGGACGCGCAGGCTCAGCGGCCATGGCTCACAGGCCCAGCCGCTCACGCGTGTGGGATCCTCCCGGACCGCGGCACGAACCCATGTCCCCTGCATCGGCAGGCGGACTCCCAACCACTGTGCCACCAGGGAAGTTCCTCTGGCCTAGCTTTTAAACTTGATTGCTGGCACCTATCAGAGGATTGATCAGGGCTAACTACTGTTGAATTCTAAAAAAATTATGTAGTAAAGTAAACTAGCCAAGCCCCAAAGAGAGACTGACCCTAAGGCCACTGTGTCTGTTAACAGGGTCCGCAGGTGGCCAAGGACCTCACTGGAACCACTGGGACGTGGGTGTGAAACGGTCTTGTGGGGACTTTAAACAAGCACATCCATTCACCAGGTTTTTGTGAGCTTCCCTGTCCCATTCTGATCACTGGCAACAAAACCAGGCACAAATTCAGGCAGGTGATGTGGCCATGGCAAGGTTGCCCTCAAGGGCTGAAAGCACTGGAGGAACTCAAGAGAGTCCATTAGGTCTAGGGGCTATATTTTATACAGTGACAGATATCCCTACGTGTAATCTGGGCTTGCTTTCTTCTTAGACCAAATCTACCATCTGTGGGATCTGTGGTCTGTGTCGACTTAAATGCACAGTAAGCGCTCACTTGTCTAGGGGTAGTGTTCCAGCAGCCTCCACTCTCTGAGGCATTGGCCCTGGCAGTAAGAAGGGCCTCTGGGCATCGAGCTTGCTGAGCTGACTCTTGGGAAGATCTCACTGGGTCTTCCTTAACCTTCCCGACCTGGAGATAACCTCTGCTGCAGCTGAACACCCTCAACGGTTCTATTCAAGGGCTCTATGGCGAGTAGGAGCTCAATAAATAAAGTTTAGTCGATTGATAGAAGTTGACTTAAATTTGTTAGCTGATTTCCCAGCCTGAGGGAGTAAAGGCAGCAAACCTAAAAGCAACTGGGGACATTAGAGGCTGACCCAGTGAGTAGCATGGTGAGAAATGGCACCAAGAAGAGAGAAGGGTCAGGCAGATGCAGAACTCGGTGTGTATTCATCCGCGTGTGTTCACTGGGTATCTGCGACGTGCTCAACGTTGTATTATAACAGCATGATACAAAGGACAGATGTTAATAATGGGGGGGGGGTCCTGAATCATTCAGAAATTAATTATATTTACCATCCTTGAAGCAAACTTTGGATTAACTGTTAATAATTTTGGATTGTTGGATATTTTGATTTCTGTACTTATCGGTTCCCAGAAAGAATATGAGTGATCCAGAGTTCAATGCACTAAGTGAGCAAATTCTCTTTCTCAGTGTGCGTGTTAGGGATATGTAAATAGAATTGCTGATACCTTCCCCTTTCATCCTATAGCAACAAAAGAGGTGTCAACAAATAAAGAGCTCTACCTTGGTAATTCAGTCTTATATCTGGGGCTGGAAGGTGAGTTTAAAAGAAGTGACCCGGGCTTCCCTGGTGGCACAGTGGTTGAGAGTCCGCCTGCCGATGCAGGGGACACGGGTTCGTGCCCCGGTCCGGGAAGATCCCACATGCCGCGGAGCGGCTGGGCCCGTGAGCCATGGCCGCTGAGCCTGCGCGTCCGGAGCCTGTACTCCGCAGTGGGAGAGGCCACAACAGTGAGAGGCCCGCATACCGCAAAAAAAAAAAAAATAAGAAGTGACCCTACGTGGGATAGGGAGAGTGGGAGGGAGGGAGACGCAAGAGGGAAGAGATATGGGGACATACGTATACATATAACTGATTCACTTTGTTATAAAGCAGAAACTAACACACCATTGTAAAGCAATTATACTCCAATAAAGATGTTTAAAAAAAAAAAGAAGTGACCCTTATTTATGTGGGGTTTTCGTGTTCTTTACAAAGGACGACGTCTCTGGGCTCACCCTGCAGGGGAGGGTTCCTCGTCGCCTGCTTACCCTGTAAACAGTCAGATGGAAAGAATAAATATTATGGTCCAAGCTGGGGCCCTACACCGTGTCTTGATTGCTGGCTGGAGCTCACTCCCCAGCATCCCCGATGGCCTTCGAGAGGGGCTGCCTCACCCCCTCCTCGGCCACCATCTCCCTTTAACTTCTCATCAATGGGATCCATTCGCCACTCAGGCTGGGCGCCAGCCTCGCACTGTTTGATTTCAGAACGTAAAGCATGAAGGTGACAGATCTCAAGAAAAGCAAGTCTAAATAAGGACACAGGCAAAGCGCCCAGGACGGGGTCCTGGCCCGCAGGAGACTCTGGATTCGAATTTCTGCATTTTCCACGCCTGTCCCTACGGTCCTCATATTTAAGGCACTGCAAGCGTTCCTTCCTGTTTTCCTTCCCGTGATCCCACCAATGCTCCAGGCTTCCCAGATGCTTTTCCATCCCCTGGAGAAGGCTGCCCCCTTCCCCTACCCCACAGGCCGTGCAGGAAGTCCCCGAGATCTCCAAGGCCCTGAGCCCACCCTGAGATACTGACTACTACCCTGAAGTCAGTATCAGCTACTGGCTTGTCCGTCCCTCCCATGACTGAAAGCTCAGGACGGGCAGGAAGCACCTGCTATGCATCTTCTACGTCAAATTCGCCTGAGCAAATAACAACAGCAGTAGCCTGGTCCCTTTCTTACAGGGTTGCTTCTCAACTGTAACTCCAATATTTTCTCTAAATCAGATTTTTTTCCGAAATATGAGAAAGTCTTTAACTGCGAATACTGTTGATGGTCTGAAAAGGTAAACGCATTCTGGCTTTGCTGCAATGATCTCATCCTCTTTGGACGAAATGAAATGTGAAATCTCACAGGGGCTCTCGCAAGGCGGGAACTGCACGGGCGCGGTGTCACCTGGAGGCTCCAGTCACCCACAGCTTCAGCCCCATATCCCTCAGGATGCCAGGGAAGCCGTTCCCAGGCAGACCCTCTCCTCCATCCTGCCTCCTGCTCAGGAAGAAGTCCAGCCAGATTTCTCATTTTCTCTTTTCAAAACATAACATACTCTTTTATACCAGTGAATTTTACACCTATACGTAAGGACCAATGCTGTCCTCCAGCCACACGTGACCACCCTGAACTCCACCGGTGCAGCCTTATCTGTGCTGTGCACTCAAGGGGCCATCACTTTGCTTACTTCAGATCAAGTGTCACATCCAGAGTTCCATCACATCCCCCCGCTGCCCCCAGACCACACGGTCTGGTCTCCACCGAGCCTTCACCCGATTGTACGTCTCACTTAGAATTATGTCATCTCCCCCAAGAGGACCGTGAAACCCAAATGGGCAGAGGGCAGGGGGTGTTTATTTCTTGACCTGGTACTTGATGCTGTGCCTGGCTCCCAGAAGGTGCCGAACACACATTTGTTCAATGGATAAATGGACGGATAAATGGATAACTGGATCGTTGTGCCCAAGGAATTAAAACACACTCATCATGGTATAGTTTGATGTTTGGGGAGTGCTTTTTTGTCACAAAAAACAGGAATGTACCTACACAAAGGCTCAAAATAGGCCATCTTTTTAAACAAAAAAGCGATGATTCACAAGACTTTACTCAAATGTAGAGCAGCGTTTCCCTGACTCGGGGTGGAAGGCGCATCCCTCCCACTAGACAGGGAGTGTTTCCGGGGCAGGAACGCCATTTCTATCTTTGTACCACCAGCCTCCACCTCGCAGGATTGAGAGGAAAGAGGTGCATGTCGTGGTACATGTTACCTGAATGGACTCAAATTCCTATGACCCCCTTCTTCAGGGATTGTGCCCACGTGGCCACCACCCCGTGAAAACCAGTCCCCTGTGGCTGCGGCTGTGCTTTACCTCTTTAAGGACCAGCACACATTTGCCTGGTCCCACCGACTGAGGCAGCTCTGCGATCCTCCCCTTGTTGAGGTAGGGGCCCGAGAAACACCTGTGGTTGATGAAAAGCTGAGGACAGCAGTATTTCCCGTTGACAGTACCTGCAGGGAAGAGAAACACAGCTGACGCTTTTGGACCGGAGAAACCTGCTTAACCCACTGCGTTGGCAAAACTACCCAGAGGTGCACTGTGTCTTCACATCAGAACGTTTTACATCCACAGTAATATCTTAGGAATTCTGATTATTTTTTTCTACCATATAAATGAAACTTTCTGTTTATTATGCAGGATTCAAAATACACACACAAAACACAAAAAATAAGACAATGACAACTAAGGTATTCTCCAACGTAGCTTAATGAGAAAAACACCAGTTACACAGCTAAGTTCCCCTAACCTACCTCAGGAAATCCCACACCCAACCCCCCAGAAAGAACCCGCTACCCTGAAGCTGGCATTTACCATTACCACGAGAGTCTAGAAACTTTACCACACAACATATATGTGTATCCACAAGCAATTCAGGATACTTAGGTTATTCCAAAAATATTCCATAAAGGTTTTCCGCTACATTTTGTCAGTTCAACATGAGGTTTCTGAGATCCACCCAAACGGGTAAATGTATATCCAGAAAATTCATTCACTTTTCACTTTGTGTAGTATTCCACTGTGTGAATATAACACAATTGAATTTTCTATTTTCTTACTGATGGACATTTAGTTGTTTCTACTTTTTAAATATTACCTATGGTGCCTTAATGAACACAACTGTGAAAATCCACTCCTGTTTACGGACGAGAGATTCTTCCAGATCTACAACAAGGGGTGGAGCCGCTCAGCCACTGGGTCTGTGTACCCTGTTCTACTAGAAGCGGCCAAGCTATTCAGCACAGGGACCCAAGTTACACTCGAATAAGCACTGCCCAGTTCCTGTTTTTCTTTTTTTTCAACTGAAGTCGAGCTGATTTACAACGTTGTGTCAGTTTCGGGTATGCAACACAGTGATTCAGTCATACATATATACGTATATATCTATATTCTTTCTCAGATTCTTTTCCCTTATGTGTTATTACCAAATACTGAGTAGAGTTCCCTGTGCTATACTGTTGGTTATCTATTTTGTACATCATCGTGTGTATCTGTTAATCTTTGCCCCACGCCCAGGCCAACCCTAGGTATGGTCAAGCTTCCTCATTTTGCCAGTCCATGGATGTGAAATGCGCCTCCCCGGGGCTTAACTCTGCATCTTCCTCATTAGCCTTTCTACTTATAAAGCAAAAGGGCAAGGTGCTGATCTAATTGTGTCTCAAGCTGCCACGGGGAAAAAGCAGAACAACTAAATGGTGAGGTATCCCTGTCATCACTGGGATGCGTCCTGATGTCTACACACACGGACTGCGGTCACACAGCCAGCTGAGACTCATCTTCTCCTGCCACTGTTCCAAGTCAGGCTACACTAACAGTATGAAAACTTTCTGTATAAAAACTTGTTATTCATTTGGGATGGTGATTTGACAGTCTGGGAAGCTTTGTTCTCACAGGACTTCAACTGAGAACCAACAGGTAAGGAGGGAGACAAGTTACTTTTCTGGGTATAAAACAGAAGGAGTAAAATAACAATTACCAACTCTGAAAGATGACATGGTTCTTTTAAAACCATTCTGAAGTTTGAATTTTATACAACAGGAAAAAAAAGAAAGTCCATAGCTGCATTTACACGGAAATTTGGGGATAAGATTACTCTGCCCAGACCTTTAGGGAAAAAAACCACCTTAGTAAGTCTACTCACAAAACCACTCTCTTTACTATAAAGAAAACTTTGCCTAATAGGATTCTTCCACGGTATATAGGTTTTAATCCTGGAATTCAGAACAGGCTTCGTTTTGGCTGGAAAATAGAATTTTTAATCAAATATATTACTTAATGTACAAAGATGTCTATTATCAGATTTGTGGTCAAAGGGTAATTCACGTCTGTGTTTTTAAAGGTAATTGTAAGACGCAGGACTTTATACATTAAAACACAAATACTGTTCCCAACCAGCTATTCAAACAGAGGGTTTTAGGGAACAATTCAAAGCCCACAGGGACTTAAGGATTAACCACTAGTGTAAACATGCAAGTGCAACTGGCATAAAATGTCCAAAAAGAAATGCCTGATAACGATATTTTCAACTCCTTCTTTTTCCACATGATTATTCGTGATACAGTCCTAACTGGCCTCGTAATTTCCAAGTAACACATAGACCCTCTTCCTCAGACCAAGGGAAGTGTCTAGAGCTACTGACCAAGAAGCAGAAAAGAAGAGGCACCAAGAATTTAGCTTAGAATTTTTTTCTTTAAAGAGTAGGTATCTGTAAATAAGCAGCAAGAAAAAAAGACAGCTGGCTCAAAGTTGAGTATTCTCATGTTGACCTAAAAATATATCCATGTCTCCAGTCACAGCGACATACTGGGAAGCGTCAGGGCGTCCTAAGTAGCTCGTTTACCTGTGGTGTCCAGGTGAGGGAATAAACAAAGGTCGTGAGGTATTTTCTCAACAGGCACTGTGGACGACGATCTGTGGATAAAGAAAAAACTCCCATGGGTTTCAAGCTTTAGAAGAAACTGGTACCTTCCAAAGTCTTTTCATAACTTAAAGCAACTATTAGAGAAATCTAAGCTAAGAATGTGGTCAGATACAATGTGTGCATGTATAACAACAGGTAAGATCTTTGCGGGCAAGTCTTACAATAATTCCAAGAAGCCTATAGGTCTCCAGCCCCTGGAGGGGTCATCACTGATCACTGAGATTCCTCTAGGTCACTCCTGGGCTTGTCGCTTGTTACAGAATTATAATAATGTCCTTAATTATATTTAGGACACACAGAAAGTCAGCTTGCATTGACTTTAATTAAAGTCAGACTTCTCATCAATGACTTTCTGCTGACTTTTGATTTGTGGCATCCATGCTTGTGTGGGTCATGGCCACACTGAAAACAAAATCTCCAAAGAAAATCTAAGAAGTGATGATTCTTAAAATGTGAAGTAGGTTTATGAGTCTAAGACAGAAGTCTGTGTTGTTGTTCAGTGAAAAGTTGCTGAACAAATATAAAAACTGTCACCTTAGGGGAAAAGAGGCAGCTTGGCTTTCCCGGGGATGTACAGGTTGGCTGTGTAGAAACCGCATAGCTGGAAAACTATATAAACTCTAAGTAAACGGTAACGAGAGATCTTAGTGGGGTTATCTATGGTGCTGGTTCCCAAAGTGGGGTCCCCCAGCTGTCAGATCAGCATCACCTGGGAACCTGTTACACCTGGAGATGCTCAGGCCCCACCACAGACATGCTGAGTCAGAAATTCTGCAGAAGGGGTCCAGCAACTTGTGTTTTAACGAGCTGTCTAGTGACAGATGCGAGTAAAGGGTGAAAACCACTGATCCACGGACTGCAAATTGAGGAGTCATGAATTCAAATTTGGCCTCCATGACGTGACTGTTAGTTTAGTTTTTCCTATTTCAATGTTATCCAGATAAAACTGGAGTGAGATGATTAACCTGAAACACTGTTAGAAATGTAAAAAGAATACCCAGAAAACTGTTATTTGCATCCAATAACTAAGCAGTTATTATTCAATTTCATTTTATTTAAGTTTCAATCCAGGTACATGAAAAAATAAATGCTGTTTCCAATTCCCTTTCTGACAGTCTACTAAGAAAACATAATGACTTGGTAAGGGATGTGCATCGTAGTATATTCCAGACTTTTTCCAACATACAAGAATGTTACCAACAGTGAAGATTTTCCAAAAATATACAGCCCGCCTGTCCACAGGCTGTCAAACACCCTCCTTCCTCATAAAATTACAATAGAAATGTGGCGTAACCTACATTTATTCAGCAACGGAGGGCCCACACATTTTCACATAGAATCTAATTTAATCTTCCAAAAACACCTGAGAAATGGGTATTTTACAAAGGAGGGCATTGAGATGGGGAGAAATAAAGCAACCTGCTCCAGCTCACTGGGCTGGGAGCGGGCAGAGCCAAGGCCTGGATAGGCAGCTCTGTAGGGCCCCTGGGGGCATTAAGAACCATGGGCACAGAGTGCCTTTACCAGCGGTGCAGGACACTGGGCATCCTTCAGGTTGGCTGAGCTGGGAGGAAAGTGAGAAGTTACGATCTGGAGAAGAAACTGCTTTAGAAGCAAGACCTGTGTCCTGCACATAATAGATGCACAATAAATAACAGGAGCTACGTGTTACTGTCCCCTCTACTACTGTGCTAGGTGTTGACTAGTTCTCTAACGAAAACAGCCCTGTTTCCCATCCTCTTGAAAGACACTTCAGAGTTTACCACGGAGTTTTTGTGAAAAAACAAACTTACTGTTTTTCTGGTTGCACAACTGCAATCTTTCTCTTCTTTTGTGCTGTAAAACAGGCAAAAAGGGAAAAAAAGAAAAGCAGCTTTGGTAGCTAGCTAGGAAGAAGCATTTTTTAAAATGGCTCGGTAGGTATAGAACTGTCTGTTTTAAAGTAACAATTTAAAAACTGAAAAGTTATTTCATTCAGGCCTCAATTTTATCTTAATTTCTTCTAGCATAAAATAGACTTTGACTTTTCAGAAATGAACTCTAAACAGAATTTAGTACATTTAACTTTATCACTACACTGGCTACTTTATTCTAAAATGTGCTTCTAATAAAAAGAAAAAGAGCACACATATCAGACCTCCCAGGAACACAGCTGGTAAGATGGATTGGTATAAGCATGATTACCCAGATGACTTTTTTCCCCGCAGAAAATGTGATAAGTCAAAAAATTTTTACCATAGCAGCATGCTCCCAAGTTAGGATTAGAGGCATGTTTATAAATTACAACGTTTTATCATTAAAAGGAGGATTTGGTGCCTAGCAAACATATACGTCTGTCAAATAGTGACATAAACCAGCCAATAATAAACTTGGGGTTAAGAACATTTCCAGTTTACATTTATAACTGGTTAGAGTCACCTTCACAAAGACAGACCAGAGCTTCTGGCATATATAAATTTGGGCAAAGATAAGCCTGCATCTTCCAACATTAGCAAAAATTAATTCTAACAGAACTTCTAAAGCTGTCAGAGTTTGGCAGATTCGTTTAGACTTTGCCTCTTCAAAGCAAAATGTACGTGTGAGAAATAAGACGAAAACAAAAATAAATAAGAGAAATAGTGACTCAAATTTCATCTATTTTTGATTTTATTTACCCAATTCCAGTACGGGCAGACCTCAGAGATATTGTGGGTTCAGTTCCGGACCACCCCAATAGAGTGAATATTGCAATAAGTCACAGGAACGTTTTTGTTTCCCAGTGAATATAAAAGTTATATTTACATTATACTGTGGTCTACTAAGTGTGTAATAACATCATGTCTAAAAAAACAACGTACATACCTTAATTAAAAAATACTTTATTGCTAAAAAATGCTAGCTGTCATCTGAGGTTCAGTGAGTCGTAGTAGTAACATCAAAGGTCACTGATCACAGATCACCACAACAAATACAACAATACAGAAAAAGTGAGAAATATTGCAAGAATTACCAAAACGCGACACAGAGACACGAAGTGAACAAATGTTGTCGGAAAAGTGGCGTCATAGCCTTGCTTGATGCAGGGTTGCCTCAAACCTTCAATTTGTAAAAAAACGCAGTATCTGTGACAAGAGGTCTGCCTGTAATTACTACGAAAAAGTATGAACTCCGTGATCTCTAAAGTGAAAAATGAGTGTAGACTAACTTGCCTAACTCAGTCTTTGCTAATTAGGGTGAGATGCCTGAAGTGCGTGATGTTTTGATGAGAAGCCACACACAACAGACCGGGAAGCGAAGTGCGAAACAGAAAGGAAACATCATTATGTTCATCTTAACCCTGTGGGATTTCATCCAGAAAAACTCAAAACTCAGAATGCTCGTCGCCTCCCAAATCCATGTGAAGGAAGGAGGAAGAGGATCAGGGCGCAGATTTCTGTCTGAGGCACAAGCAGGCACAGGGCCCAAACCCGGAGAACCCGGGGAGAACCTGCCCAGTGGCTGTGGAGGCTGAGAGCCAAGGAACCGCGTCAGTTTGAGTGAGAATAAAAGAAAAAGAAAAAGAATGCGCTTGAGACTGAAATAATTATTCTAAGCTCAAATTTTAAGAAATATTTTCAAGTGAGGGGCAGTGATGTCACTGTTATTGGATCAGATTCAGTGTGCAGTATGGGGTACAGAAGAATCCCTTAAAATCTGCCTCTGTCTATAACTTGGGCCCCCTACTTTGATTCGCACGGATAATGCCCCATCCAGCTCGTAATGGGTATGTAGTAGGTCTCTTAAGTGTCCTTCAATATCTGTTGACATCAGGGAACAAGAAGCCGACCATGGGATGGAACTCTCTTTATGGCAAAGTTCTGAGCATCTACGTAAGCGGACCTTATGGTAGGATGCTACAAAGAAGTCAGCTAGCATATAAATTAATAAAGAAAACATTAGAAATATAATATATATCACAAAAACTAAAGCCCCTTAACTTTAAGGACTCACATTTTAAAATAATACTTCTGTTATCCGTTGGGGGCAGTAATAAATGCCGAGATTGATTAGGCTTGAAGATTTTTAAATGGTTACCGTTTTCAGGAAAATGACTTACAATAATATACGTTAAAACACACACTTGTAAGTATTTAAGTGGTGTGTGTGTGTGTGTGTGTGTGTGTGTGTGTGTGTATGTGATGCTGTGTTGTTTAATTACTAATATTGTCTTAATTTGGCATTTTTGTGATCAGAAGATATGATGCACTTTTCAAAGTCCAGTTGAAATCTCACTGGTTTAGTTAGTGCCCAGAGTAGTTAAGTGTTTATATCTATGTCAGTAAATTACTAGGACCAATTATGATTATTTTGGGGTAAACCTCATGAGGAAAAGTAGTTCTTTCTCAGGTATGATCATACAAACGTATAGTATTTAGCTGAAATTTTTTGTAATCAAGATCATGAACTGTACACAAAACGGGGAGTGAAGATTCCAGATCCTCTCTCTGCCTCATCACGTGACTTAGTTTGTCAACCAGGGAAATGTATCCGAATATTCATCTCACACAGACATTTAAAGGATAAATGAGACAAAAGTACTGGTGCTGTGAAATCAACAACCTTCTTTGATTTTTACAATCTGGCTCCACTAACTATCTTTACCAAACTGCCTGTTTATTCACCCAAGTCCCAGATGTTACCCAGTTGGGCTCCGAGCAGGGCGATACTTACAGACTGTCTTGTGCGGTGTGGTCAGAGGGTAGGAGTTGGCTTCACACCAGCCCACGGGGAAGATGTCCATGGATTCAACGTCAACAATGAACTCTGGAGCCGGACTCTGCAGGCCTGCAAGGAGTCAAGACAGCAGGTGCAAACAGGTTTTACCAAAAAAGACACAGGAGAAGGAGGGAAAATACAGGGCACCCCTGAGATGGAGGAAGACATTCCTCTGAATGTTAAACACAAAGCTGACAGTATCTTACAACAGATACAAATGCCTGAAATGTAAAGTAGCAGGAGTACAAGGCATTCACATGAAGTGGGGGTCTGGAAAGGAGAGTTACTTCCCCCTGAAAATGGGAGGAAGAGGAAGGAATCTGGGGACACTTGGCATCTAAGCCAGAAAAGCTAGAAGGAACAAGCGTCCTTCTTACCTAAGAACAGCTTTGAAATTAAGGAAGGCGGTCCAGCTTGTGGGGTGGAAGCAACAAGTCTTTTTCACCCAACACCAAGCAGAGGTCAACCTTCAACCAATGAAAGTTAAATGCTCCAGTTAAAAGGAACTAGTAGGGCTCAGTAACACTAGTTATAAGTAGTGATCATCAAAGCACAATTTCCTAGGGAACGTGTTCATTTAACCTGTGATGGAAGTCACTTATTCTGAACTCAGTTTGCAGTCTGCGTACTTTCGCCATTTCACACAAAAATCACTTATACAGGAACGTCTCTTTAGTGGGGATCTGCCTACGTATCACCTCCTGTTTCATAATCATAATGATGCCTGTGATAAATCAGCATCACAGCTGAGAGACTCTGAAAGAGAGAAAAGATCTGGATGTAATATGAGCGAAGGTTCCAAGGGACTCTGCTTACTGAGAGAGTAAATTTAGAACCCAGCAAACTAGCGAAAAGAAGGACTAGTTTTACACCGAATCAATAGCTCTTTAAAAACACACTTGGAGGGAAGACACTCGAACCAAGAATCAAAAGATAAGTAAGAGCTCTATTAATAGAATGACTCCCTGGCTCTGACCACTTAATCTTGCTGTGCTTTGGTTTCTTCAGTGCCAATCAAGATGAAAATAACACTGTAGAAACTCCATCACACGTCACGTGATGAATTTGGAATAGCATCCCCCTCAAAACATAACTTCCTGAAGCTCAATACCAGCAAACACAAAAGGTCCTAACCATTTTAGCTACGCTGGCTCCTAGAGTACGTTATTTGATAAAGGCAGGTACCCAGTTTAGCGCTAAAACGTTATTTTGGTGGACAAAGTGCCCTGAACACTCTGACGGTGGATGCTTCCACATACGTATTATCATCCACATTAGTCACGCTGAGCTTTGGATTTGTTCTCAGAGAAAAGTCATTACCGTGATTATCAATCCTAACTTCCTTTTCACTGAATTCTCCTATAATTTGAAGGATACATAAGCTACAAGAATGCAAGGAGGTTTACAGAGATTATTTTCAACACAGTTGACTGAAAGAAAGCATTTCTGTCTTGTATTATATGACTCAGACAATATTTAACCTATTTGTCAAAGAAATCATCAAATAAACAAGAAGACGTCCAAAACAGACAGAAGGTAAAGAAACTCTCCAAGTAGCTTCAAATGTGGAAGTGATTTTTCTTGTCGAGAAGGGCGCTGGATTCTGCAGAGGGGCCAGTGAAAAGGGTCACCAGGCTGTTTCCCAATTCCTCAGCTTCAGACTCACAAAAACACAAAGATAGAGCATATTTCTTAGCTACTCAGCAGTTTTGCTAACAGGTTGAATTCACCCACTAGATACATTTGTATTTCCAGATTTCTGTTTAGGTACAAAAAAGATTTTCAAGGTCAAAGTACTACTTTAAGAGGGAGCATAAAGTGAACTTTATAGCTTATTCCTTCCTGAATCATTTCTGTCTTCCAGTGTTCTGCTAGTTCATACTAGTGCTTTAACATCTTTAACATATATACACTTCTATAACAATATATACACTCATATGTTTCTAAGGCCGTCTTTACCGTACTTTTAATATTCTTTGATCATGCTTTCCGTTCAATTAAACGGACACTTAGGAGCTACAAATGTGTCAGCAACCATGTTCTCAAGAAAGTTACAGTCCTGCCTTCCTTCCACCCCCAAATCTGGCCCATTAAGACATCTATTAAATAATAACTGATGGAAAAGTGGGGTATTTATCATCCAGGAAAGTATTTGTGAACCTGAAACTTTTCCAACCCTCTTCTGAAAGATGAGTACTAATTTTTTATTTCCTTTTATCAATCTTATGAATCTAGAAATATCTGGCTGGACTCACAATAATTTTTTAAAACATAACCCATTATTTCCCAACATTAGAGACTCAGTAGCTTACAAAATAAGTCATTAAAATGTTGCCAAGGCTCCTTGATTATTCTAGGATGGCCAAAACTACCTATGTGGAGAGATACTCCGCTAAGCGCCTCTGCAATATTCCTTATCATTTTATAGAACAATGTCCGATGAACAACACAAGGCCATACTCAATCTCTGACTTTGTTTCAGCTGCATCAAGTCATGGATTCTACTTATTCATTCTTACCCAAAACCTTCATCTCAAAAACCATTGGGAAGCCTAAATCTCCATCTATGGGGGCATACTTGAATAAGTTACAGTACATTCCTATAATGGAATATCCATCCTGCTGCTATAAAAAAGAATGAGAAACCTCTTTATATATTTATACATAAAGATGTATATTTGAGTAAAAGAAAAGCAGGGCACAGAACACTGTGTATATTTAGTATATGCTACCATCTGCTTTAAAGGGGAAAATAACATACTTACATGTGCATGAGATAAATCTGGAAGAAATGAAAAATCCTAATTCAGTGGGTGTCTGCTGGGAAAGGGCCTGAGGGACAGGAATGGGGGGAGACAATATGACCAAAGATCCTTTATGTATTTTCAGCCCTTGTGAATGAATTACCTATCTTACAACTACAACCTCGCCATCATCACAATGACAATCACACAACAAAGCTATTCAGAGGAGAAAGGAGGCTCTCACACGGTCTGGCCACAGAGGTCGGATTAAGGGAGGACAAGTTACCTTAAAAGGAAATTAAACTATGATGTCATTTCACCGCTATAGGAGAAAGACTTTCCATACTCAAAGGGCCCATGTACCAGCATATAAAGTTGGAGGAATCACTTTGGAACCTTAAAACGGTTTTGCAATTTGCGATATCCTGAGACTCTGTCCTCAGACCAGCGCATCCCACCCACTTCCACAAAGTGCCTCTTGCCCTTCTGTCTGCAGAGACTGTATCACAGCTTAACCCAGCAGAGGATGCAGGGCACTGTGATAGAATCGGTGGTCCCTTCTATTGGGAACATGGGGATGAAAGAAGAGGATGGCTGTGATGATGCTAAAGTATCTTCCTAGGAACACAATCCCATCAAACTTCTCACAGTAGTAACTGCTTCATTCCCAGCAAATTATGGATGGGAATGAGCCTGGGCGAGCACCAGTGGAGATGCTGGTGGGACCAGAGACAGGAGGGCTGTGAGGGCAGAGGCTAGGAGCAACCACAGAGGAAGTACATGATGTTCACTGACTACACTAATAGAATTCGAATGGCCCCTGCATCTCAGGTGAGAGCCAGCATAGGAAGAAAGGCGAGAGGGATTGAGGGACTCGTCCAGCGCCCTCATCAAGAGTTAAAGGCCACACCAAGTTGTGATGCGCTCGAGTGTGCGATGAAAAGGTAAAGCACTGGAAGAAAGAAAAGCAAGAACTGGGTGCTGGAAACCCCACCCGCCATCTATACTGGGCCCTCCATCTGCAGACGGGGGCCCCCAGAACAAGATCTCAGAGATCCCTTGTCAGCTCTGGAATAAATTCCTAAGGAATCAAGAGATGGCAAAACTGTGGCTGGCAAGATCGACATGTGATAGGAAGCCATCTGAAGGAAAACAACAGAAACGGGACTGAATGCGTGAGTGGAGGGAGAGATGCATCCACAGGATGGCAAATGCTTACAGCACTTACTCTGGACCAGATACTTTTCTAAGTGTTTCATCCTCACGACCCTAAGAGATCGGATGGTTTTCATTCCCATTTTATAGATGAGTAAACTGAGGGTCCGGAAAAGATCAACCAGCCAGTAAGAGGGGGACCTAGGGTTCGAACCTAAGCAGTCTAGCTCCAGAGCCTAAGAAAGCAATCGAGGCAGGCTCGTGAGGAAAACGTGGTGAGTCAGAAGTCACACTCAGCACAACGGCAGCTTGAAAAGCCCAAACTTTCCTTTGGTTCCTGCTGCAAAGCCCTCTGGAGAGTAGATTCCCCCCTCCAGCCTCCCATCAAAAGCCTTCCCCCAAATTCCCATTTTACTTAAGAAAGCCAGAGCCAGGGCTGTCACTGACCACTCAGAACCTGTGTAACTGATTGGGAGTCTTCAAAGCCTGTTCAAAGACAGCACCCACTCCTGGGCCACGTTGTTCCTTAACTGTGCAAGAATACAGGTCCTGCCCCCATATATACCCCTATCTGCTAAAGCAGCTTCTCCCCAAAATGTCTCCTGCAGCCCATACCTCTTTTTAAAGATTTAAAAACCACCCACACTGGCTTGAAATATAATTACTTCCACATTTGCATTTTCCCTTGTTTCATTCTTGCAGGTCTCTGCAAAATGCCATTAACCACCTGACTTTATCACAAATTACAGAAAAGGCTTAAAGAGCAGTTTTCTGCACCTGGTCTCCTAGACAGAAGAGGTTGCATCACCTGAGTTTCTTTGCCCATTTGATCTGCTAGAGGCCTTTACAAACTCTCTGTGCAAAAGAGTCATCCGGGGAGGGTGACATGAAAATGCAGGTTCCCAGGCCCTGCCCCCAGGACTCGGAAGTCATGGGTCTGGAGCAGCCCCAGGGATGTGCACTTTCACAGGACTCCCGTGTGTTATGAGGCAGAAGGTAGTTTACTGGAACTGAACCAAGCACACACGGAAAAAAAACTGACCAAGGAGTTTTTGAATTTTAGCTTACAAGTATAAAACACCTCACTGTCTCAAAACTCGGTTAGCCAGACAGCAGTTCTTAAGGGGGTGCTCATATCTTAAATCGCTTTCTCGTTAAGGGACACCGATT